TCTCTCTCTCTCTCTCTCTCTCTCTCTCTCTCTCTCTCTCTCTCTCTCTCTCTCTCTCTCTCTCTCTATAGATTGATCGGCGAGGATGCATTTTTCGTCATCTTCGTTCTTTCAAACACTCCTCTTCTCACATCGTGATGGATGGAAATAAGATACACAGCACCTCCTCTCTCTCCTCCTCTTCTTTCTCCTCCCACTCTCTCCTCATAAGCGGACCCAACTCCCCCATCTCTCTCTCCAAGAAGCAACTCTTCGTCTGCTTTTCTGCGCTCGTTCTTCCCAGATTCGCTTCCAAAGAAAAATCGAAGCTTCGTTTTTGCTGATCACAATGTCCAAACAACGTTTTTTTCAGAGAGAGATATCGATTATCTATCTTCTCGAACATAACGGGATCTTGCTGCGTTACCAGCTAGCTACTTCCACATAGTCCCCGTTCCGTCAAGCCCCGTTACGATCTGGTCTTCATTCCGTTCCGTCAGCCCCCCCGGCCCCGTTACCATCAGCCCCTCGTTCCGTTCCGTCAAGACCCTCGCCCGTTCTCCATCTTCACCTCCTTCCCTTCCGTCAAGCCCCATTACGATCTGGCGACCGTTCCGTTCCCTGCCGTCAGCCTCCGCTAAGATCGCGGACGATGATGATACCTCCCGTTCCGTCAGATTCTGGTCCTAGTTCCGTTCTGTTAGATTATGGTCCTAGTTCCGTTCCGTCAGGCCCGCCCGTTATGATCACGTCCTCGTTCCATTCCGTCAGCCCCCCCGCCGTCTACAATCTTGGCCTCATTCCGTTCCGTCAAGACCCCTAACGATCTGGCCGGGGTTCCGTTCCGTTCTCGAACAAGGATGGTTGCCCCTCAAACGTGCCACTGTTCAGCCAACAGAGTTTCAAGCCCTGCACCTGCCCCTCGAATGGGAGTGAAATTTTATTCAGTGTCATATATATACATAAAATAACATATAACATAAATTGCGTTCAATAATAGTTTATTCGTTTATTATACCATGAAAAAAAAATCAAGGCCTGCGGGCCTAGCTCAGTTGGTAAGGCACAGAAGTTGCATTCAGGAGGTCGTGGGTTCAATCCCCATTCGCCTCACGTACGTGCCCGGGCAAGCTTGGTGTTCTACCAGCTAGAGATAACCCGTTGGCCCCCCAAGCCAGCATTGGCAGGACCTTGGCTGATGTTGTCATGTGGGGTTGGGGGGAGAGATCCGGGTTGGTTGGTGTTCCTGTGACGAACCAGCTTCCGGACCTGCGCCAACTTTCGGACCCCTTCCTCCCCCATCATTTCTCTGCATCTAGATGTGTCTCGTTCGACCCCCGAGAAACCCCCTTCCCCCTCCCTCTGTTTTTGCTCGATTAAAGGTACCTCGTTGAATTCTCTTTCTTTTGTTGATAATGCATGGGAATTTCGCGCGCCTTAGCAAGCGCGCTCGAAATCTGGCTCGACAGTTAGGAATCCGGAATTAACGGAACAGCGCGCGACCTTTCGCGCGCGAATGTTCTCGGGCTCGACCTGGAAAACTCTGGGAATTCTTGTAGGAATATGGATGGACGGAGGGCTTTCTTTCTTTCCCGTGCTTGCTTTGCGCGCGGATATGGTACTTTCAATTTTTGAATTAGCATAGGATTGGGGAAAACCGCAACTGTTTCGGTGCCCATTCTCCTTTTGCCGACCGGCGCCATGCAATCAAGCTCCCTCCTCCTTCCTCCCTGCGCCCCTCTCAACGCCTCCCTTCGCGCGCACATGCTTTCTCGCTCCTTCCCCCTGTAACTGCTTTTCCCTCCCCTTCCCAGAGCGCGCCCTTTTTCTCTTTCTTGATCATCTGAATCTTGGACCCGTTTCGCGATATCCTTCGCACTCCTCTTCTTCCCGCTCTAAGATCCGCGTTCGAAAACCCAGTTGATCCTCTTTCCCCATCTAGCCAAGGAGAAGCGTCGTGTAAGTTCTTATTACACGGCGATTCTCATTGGCTGAAATCGAGTTGAGGAGGGTCAACATGGCTTTCGACGGGCGATTACTCTCAAGCCCTCCTTTACCCTCCTCTACCTCACTCTTCGTCTTTCCCCGCGTCTCTCTCCCTTCTCGTAACTATTAATTCCGACGACGCACCCGCAAATCTCTCTCTCAACTCGTCAACCAGCTTCCGGGAAGCAGTGGCTAGATGATGTGTGTATAGTGCGAGTCGGACAGTCCTGACGAGCCGACTGTAGACTGGCTGGTTGTGCGCTCGATTGCCACGACGAACTGTGGGATCCGGGCAAGCCACGTCGAGGCTAGAGTGGCGGGGTGACGATCGCAGTATTGGATGCTGACACGCGACGGCTGGGATCGTCAGTGCACGAATGAAGACGAGTGATTTGAGTTGAGTGGATGATTGGCCCCGGGCCATGTTGGAATTTAACGGCGAGTATGCCCCCTTGTTGCGAACCCATTCTTTGGTGTGAGCTCACGGCGGTAAAGCCGGACCTTCTCTTGCATTCCCAGATCTCAGTGTGACCTCTCCCTCATGGCTTGATATTCTCGCCTCTCTCTCTCTCTCTCTCTCTCTCTCTCTCTCTCTCTCTCTCTCTCTCTCTCTCTCTCTCTCTCTCTCTCTCCTCATCTCTTCTCTCGCTGATATGAATAATCATGTATGGAGAGTCGATCTTTTGGTTTGTGATCGAATAAGCACTTGTGAATGTATACTCGGAAGAACTTCTTCTGAAACTCTTTCATTAGTTTCCTGGGTAATCCCCGGACCTGTTGAGATTTGATCACCTTGTTTTGTGAACGGTGGATGCGCGTGTAACAACCATCAAAAGGGATTGTGATTACTCATTTTTGGCACAATAGGGCAGGGGCATTGCCTGACTGCCGCCTTTCGCACCTTCCACAGTGAATGTATGCATATGGGCACGAAACTCATTTTGATTAGGACACGATCCGAGGAATCGATGACAGAGGCAATGTTCTTGGGATTTTGTTCGAGGATGCAAGAATGGTTGGATATGTTGATGTTGTGATTCGGGACACACTGCACAAGCCATCTGCCTTATACTGCGCAACATATGCAGCATACCCTCGTAAAATAATGAGGGACTTCCACGTGCGACCGGTACGCGTGAACAGTGGTCGCACCTCATCATACACGAGACTTCGTCTCTCCTCTCTCTCTTTGAACGTTTCTTTCCTTCTTCGATTTTCTTTCCTTTTTTCTGGGAATTTTGACGCTGTTGTGTATTTCTTGACTCTTGATTTACGATGAATGATTGAGGATATCTTTGGCGTCCGATTCATTGCCATGTGGACTGATGGGCTCAATCCGACCAGGCGCCGGCCTCGACCGGTACGCATGAACAGTGGTCGCACCTCATCATACACGAGACTTCGTCTCTCCTCTCTCTCTCTGAACTTTTCTTTCCTTCTTCGATTTTCTTTCATTTTTTCTGGGAATTTTGACGCTGTTGTGTATTTCTTGACTCTTGATTTACGATGAATGATTGAGGATATCTTTGGCGTCTGATTTGCCATGTGGACTAACGGGCTCAATCCGACCAGGCGCCGGCCTCCCGTATCCCCACCTCGCCCCTTCCCGTATAACGAGGAAAGGACGCGTGTGTGTGAGTGGGACGTACGAGAAGTCGTCGCCAAGATCGGCGAGCGATATTATTTCCCTCCTGAAAATCGATGTTCTGGGTTTGTCGGCACTGGGTTTGTCATTATCGATACACATTTTCCACCATACTCGTTACTATTACCATTCAACGAGTTGATCGTCATCCCGTGGCCGGCAGTGGCGCCCCATTGGCCTAACACTGTGTGTAGTGACTTCCAACGCTTCGATCACTACCAATCCAAGGGCTTCCATTACCGAGTACGGAATGAGGACGAGCATAAGAAAAGGGCCACGCGATTAAGGCCATCCACGTCAGATTCGGAATTGTGTAACGAGCGGCGTCGGGAGCTAGTCCGAAAGCGGGATACTAAGTACTTGCCCACCCCCTTTCACTCCAAACGAAGAGTCATAGCTCGGTGCAAAGTCCGACAATATTTTTTGGATTGAGTTTGAACTTCCCGCGTCACGAATCCCACGCGCTCTCTTCTTCGAAACCCGCGTCTCAATCAACCAGTTCTCTCACTTCATCAGACTAATACAGGGGATTTCAGTTTGGTCTGTGTCCCCACACTCAATTTTCCAAAAATCCTTGGCACACCCCATCTTGCTGTTTTTCGGGGCCTTCTTTCCGCACCTTTAACACTCCGAACGAAAGACAGCGCAGGGCGTGAGGTTGCGCGTCACATCCCGTACTATAAATAGACTAGTGAGAGGATGAGATAGATGCGTATTGACTTATCGTGACGGCACGGGTGCACAACCCGTAGTTTGTTTGTTTATGTGGTTCGAGAAGGGTAAGGTAGTGATTATGCTATATGTATGTTTTGTCATGTTCACAAACACAACTCGAAGAAAGTGTGTGTGGGGGGTCCCGGTTGGTGCTTTATTCACGATGTTCATGGGACGCTGGACCCAATTTTCCGGTTGGTGCTTTATTCACGATGTTCATGGGACGCTGGACCCAATTTCCAGCGGCACTCCCCATCAATAGACAGGAGAGTGTATATGCGCGCGCGCGCTCGTGTGTGTGTGTGTGTGTGTGTGTGTGTGTGTG